TAAATATGTATGAATGCAAAGAAGATTTTGTTTGGTTTTTATGTGAAAAAGTTTTAATCCTAAACCTAATAAACAAATCAAGATTATTTCAAATTAATTAAGGAAAGAAATTGTTTTTTAGAAAAGATTTTGATTAAACCCTAATTCTAATTTATTAAAAGAAAATAAATTTCTTTAAGTATTTTTGTATTTTTGTCTCGAAAAATAATGTATGGTATTTATGAAGTATTTTGGTCTTTTTATATGTTAAAATAAATATTTAATAGGTATGAAGACAAATAAGTATTTAACCTAATTTTATTTTAATTTACAAATTTATTTAACAGAAATAGATAATATATAACTAAATAAAAATATTTTTATGAGAAAATAAAATAAAATAAAATAAAATATAATATTGATCATTTTATATTTTTTATGATTTTTATTATTAAGGAAAATATATTTAATAAAATAGAAATAAAAATAAAAATGAATAATAAAATTATATGGGCCAGGGGTGCCATGAGTAAACTGGAGGCAGGAAGTTAACAAAAATATAGGGCCCAATGTCCAGAAGCCCATGCTGCAAACAAACAAAAAAAGTGGAAAAAAGTATGAAAAATTGCAAAAGGCAGCGCCAAGGCTCGAACCTGTGACCTAGGGCATTTTTGCGCGCTGCCTTACCACTGGGGTGGCTGTACATCCGTTAGTCTAAATGAAAGCTAAAATACATAACATATAACGCTTCCTTGCCCTGTACTTCACCTTCAACCTTTGGCCAGCCAGACTCCCTGTAACTTTTTCATTTCTCAATAAAAATGAAAAGTGATAACATGAACATTATAGCATTTTACCTCACGATTCTAACCATATGCATAACTAAAACTATAAGTCCAAGATCAGAGAGAATTTTGTTGGCCCTAATTCTTGACCTAATTTTTCCAGGAACTTCAAACTTAAAATTCTCTAAACTCGGGCCAAATAAATGCAAGCTATGGATATGTACAGCTTCATATAGCAATGATATCTATATTCTATATTCACAAATGGAAAGCTAACTATGCTTGTATCAAGAGTTAGAAAAACAGAAAACTCACCTTGAAAATGGAAATTGTGTTTTAAAAATGAGCTTGCTTTAGGATGCTGTGATGATCAGGTTAGCTTCCTTGAACCTCTAGGAAGCTAATGCAATGCTTAGCTTGTCTTGAGGGTGCCTGGAATGGTCTGGAGAAGTCCACATGTGTTACTCTATTTTTGAACTTCAACAATGGGGAAGATGGAGTTACAGTGATGTTTCAGGGTGTGGGATGGTTTACTTGTATGGTAAGGAAGCTTCGGAAAGCAAAAGGCCTGAAAACGCACGAGTAGAATGGAAGATTCAATTCACAAGTCAGAAATGGCAAGTTTGGAGGCTTGTTATGCAATTTCTGATTCTAAGGTGTTTCAAGGCTTGGGTATGCATGGTTTTAGCTGCAAAATGATGGATTTATATAGAGCAAAAGGTTAGAGGACTTGTGTTTGCTCAGAAGTACAAGATCACATGTCTTGCTACATTTCTTGTTTTTGAAGCAAGTGTAAGAAGTGACTTCTTAAGGCATCAATCTGAGCTTATAGGGTGGCTTGAAGATCTAAACACATTTTTCTCAGGTTTAGAGACTTGGTTTGTGCAGAAAGAACAAGTCCAAGGCTCAAGAAATGAAAAAAATGCAAAAAGCATGCTTTTCTAAAATGGCAATGTTGCCTTTCTTCCAAAAATGGCTATTTCCTTGTACAATGCATTAAATGCTTGGCTTTAGGGCATGAAACCTTGTGAAATTCATTAATGGTGGAGTGACAAACGAGTTTGAGGCCTGAAAAGTGAAGATTGTACAACCAATTTGCAAATTAGAAAACTTGTTCTTCATGAAATGGTTTGAAATTAAAGTGAGAAATTGCCAACTTCATCTCTTCGATTCTCCCTACTCAAGAATGATCTCAAGGAGTTCTTGGACATTTTGTAAAGCTTGTAATGTGATATACAAGCCATATTTGAAATTCTTTTGAAGATTCCTCTTGGAACTATGTGAAAAATTTCCATGAAGTTAGGTCAAAAACCTGCCTAACTAGGGCAAATTTTCACTAAGTTATTTTAATTCATGAGCATGTATTCACAAAATTATATCTTGAGATACAAACATATTTAGGAGAAATTATGTGAAGCAAAGTTGTATATTTCATGGAGATCTACAACTTTCATGTTAGAAAATTCCTTTGAATCATTTTGTATCATGGTGAAAATTTGGCCTAAAGTTGAGAAAAAATAAGAAATTTTCTATACTTAGAAAATTTTCTAAGTTAGAAATTTTCAACTTTTCAAATCCAAATCTTAAATATTTGGTTTCTTGGTGAACAAGTTTCACATTTTGACATTTTTTGATTAATTATGATCCTTGGCACTTGAATTTGACCAAAAAGTCAAAGTTTGACTTTTCAGTGCACAGTTGACTTTTGATCAATTGACTGAAAAAGTCATCTGTCAATCCAATGGATTTGTAATATTTTGAACTATGTCATTAGGTCAATATGATGCAATTAAACTCTTGATATCATGCCTTAAACCAATTGATCATTTGCTAGGTCAAAAATCAGAAATTGCCCCTTCTCAGTTAATACCCTAATTTTAACCATTTTGCCCTTTTGATGATTTGATCAATTTTCTTGGGGAATTATGGTCCAAACTTGATCAAATGATACATATGAGTCTAATATGTTGATGTGGATCAAAAATTATGAAGTTTGGCTGAAAACTGGCCATGGTTTACTTTTCCCCCAATACAGCTGATTTTTAGGTCAACTGTCCAATTGACTGATCAAAAATGTGATTCAGAGCTTGAAACTTGACTTGAGTAATCTTGGGGGTCCATGATGATATTTGAAAGCCATATGAAGCATTGATAGTCCAAAAATTCTTGTGCAAACTCAAACCCTAATTTTGGTCATCAGTGCATGAGGAGGTGTCTTGAGCTGGTTAAACCCTAATGCAGTCTTGAGTCGAAGAGATCTTATGAGGAAATTCTTGATAAGTGAGAGGGAAAATTTTGGAGTACAACAGTACCCGTTAGGATCTCCTTTCCCATTATAATCACCCAATGGGGGGGGGGGGGGGTTCTCCATGGACATCAGGATCTTACTTTCCAAGATTCTCACTAATAGTGGATGCTTTAGCCACACCTTTTCCAGTCGAGTTTATATTTGTGCCAGGGAAAGAGCCTGGTTGTTGTTGTCTCCCTCGGGGATCTAAGGAGGAGTCTGATGCTTCTTTCTCCTCTTCTGATCCTTCGAATAAGGTGATTCATATCTCTTTATTCCAACTGTCTTTCTTGAAGCAACTTCTTGGATAATATTTTTATGGGAGGGAGCATTGTGAAGACTTTCTTCTAGGCACTAAATCCTTTCTTCAAACACATGTGAGTTATGTTATCAGACGATATCAAACATGATGTTTAATAGTTTGTTAGTACCTTGCACTATGAGGTTTGCTTACAGAGCATAGAGGACATGCAAGGCTTCTGGTTGTATGACTATAGATAGAATAAAATATTCGTTCAAGTAGCTTGAATAGATCGGGTTAATTGTGGAGATCGAGAACTGGATGTAGCGAAATAGTTGGTTAAGTATCTACGACATTTTGTAGAGGAGGATATGGTATCCTTAGATCCATCCATCATCGATATTAGTGAGAACTAAAAATTAGAGGAACAAAATTAAAATTATGCTTGGTTGATCAAGTCGTGATAGATATTCGTACTTGGTCGCAAATGTTTTTTCTTTGCTGATTTAAGGAAATCGTGAATAATGAAATTAGATAGTGAACATGAATTTGTAGAAATCGTAGCAATCATAAGTCAATTTTGACAAATGGCACCATTATTCTGTTATGAAATCAGAAATGAGATAAGAAATGACGATGATGGTGGATCATGACTTCTTATGTGTTGGAGTGGGAGGACCTGCAAAGTTAGCACTTTAATGCCTAAGTCAGTATGTAAGGAAGAAGAGTGAAATGAAATTGGATTTGAAACTTGTTCCCTCAATTTGGCGCTTTCTCTATATATAGAGAGAAAAATAATTAACTTGCTATTTGTTAGTCGTGAAATTCGAAGATCCGTTAGATGCACTTGTAGTTGAGATTATTTATGAACATTAGGATTGTAATAGTTTTGAGCTAAGAAGATTATGAGAGGGGTGAGACCCCATTCCTGGTGGAAATCTAGAGGGGAAATGCTTACATGACTTTAGGGCAGGAAAGGTACATACATTTCTCTTAATAATTTCCATTCGATCAATCTATGGGTCCATGTTATATCATATATTTAAAATATTATTTCTTAGTTAAATTTTTTTACAAAGTATCAGTAGATGAACATTTCACACTTTAAAAGAAAAACATAGCAAGGTTGTCTTCATTCAGGTGCTTCCCTCTTTTCCCTCTTCGTCGTAGTTGATATATATGTCACCGTCACACCGTCATTAGATAATCACCATCTTCGACCTTCCACCAACTCTAAATCTTCAGTTTGTGGTGTTGTTTTTCTTATATATGCATAAAATTCTTCTTTTACAAAATAATAAAACTTATGTCTTTGATTTGATCTATGAGTTTATGGGAGAAATTACATTATGGATTTGAGAAATTTCCTTGACAATAAGCATTTTGGTATTGCTATTCGATTGAAATTTTTAGGTTATAACTTTTTGAACAAAATTTTGGTATCCTCTGTTATCTATAAAGTTTATAAACTATGTAGTTTGGTTAATAAATGATAAGGAAATAAAATTATTTTTGTGGTTAATACACTTTAAGTTCATATTTGTTATCAAGTGTTTTCACTCGTGTGTGTAAGTTGTGTTTAAATACAATACTTGTTGATTCTTTTGGTATGTTGTGTAGTAATTTGTTAATAACAAAAAATTATTTCATTCATTTTATTCTTTTAAATAAAATATTCTTTTATTCCAGTTGGATAGTTTTAGCAAATATGACATCTTTAAATATTGATTGGAAGCCAATAGTTGGAATGGAATTCAATAGCATAGAAGAAACTTATCAATTTTGGCTTGCTTATAGTGCACACGTTGGCTTCAGAGTTAGAAAACGTTATGCAAACAAAAATAAAGATGACACTATATCATCATGTAGGTTTGTTTGTTCTAAGGAAGGATTAAAAAAATAAACAAAACAAACATCCTTGTTAGCATTCAGAAAGTTGAAACTAGAACTGATTGCAAAGCAAGAATTTCACTTGGATGTCATAATGAAAAGTTTGTCATTAATGAGTTTGTAAAGGACCACAACCATCCTCTACAACCTCCAAAGACAACACACATGCTTACATTACATAGAAGGATAACTGAAGTACAAGCTTATGAGATTGATATGGCCAATGATTCAAGATTAAGGTAAAAGTCAACTTTTCAACTTTTGAGTACACATGCATGGCATAGAGCTAATGTTGGATTTACACGAGTGGATGTGAAAAATTACATTAATGCAAAAAGACAAAGAAGTATGGTGTACGGCGGAGCTGGTTGTCTTTCATAATATTTTCAACGCCAATTATTGGAGAATATGTCTTTCTTTCATGCATATCATATGGATATAGAAGAACAAATCACAAAGGTGTTTTGGTGTTATGCAAATATGATTTTAGATTATGGATATTTTGGTGACGTTATGTCATTTGACACTACATATTGTACCAACCATGCAAATAGACCACTTTCTTTGTTTTCTGGTTTCAATCACTATAGGGGTTCAATCGTTTTTCGTGCAGCGTTATTGTATGATGAAACAATTGAATCATTTAAGTGGTTGTTTGATAAATTCTTACAAGCACACAACAATAACAAAAACCCAAGACTGTCTTCACTGACCAAGATCAGGCAATGGCCAGGGCACTTGCGAGAGTGATGCCTAAGACTCACCATGACTTATGCACTTGTCACTTGTCACAAAATGGGATTAAACACCTTGAAAACATGATGAAATGAGACAGTTATTTTTTATGAGATTTCAACAGGTGTATGTATGATTATGACATTGAAAGGGATTTTGTAACAGCTTGGATCAATTTGATCAATGGTTATAATATTCATGATAATAACTGGATCAAATCAGTCTATGCTATTAAAAAAACGGGCTTCATGTTATATGAAGGAAGCATTCACACTTGGTATGTGAAGTACCCAAGTCAGTGAAAGTTTGAATGCTCACTTCAAATCTTGTATGAAACCGAATATGGATATCATACAATTTTCAAGCATTTTGAAAAAGTTGTTGAGGAGAAGAGATGAAATAAATTGAGTTGTGAGTATGAGCCCTCACATAAGCTTCCAAGGTTAGCATATGAATTGTCACCAATACTAATACAAATGGTAAAAGTATATACACACAATTTATTTGAGCTATTTCAAAATGAATTCAAGTTATTTTTAGCTTTATCAATATTGGAGAGAAATGAGTCTCACTCCTTGTGTGAATATGTCATTATTAAGGACAAACTTGAAAAATATTGGAGAGTTCCATTTGACCGTACTTCAACCTCTATTACTTGTAGTTGTAGAAAGTTTGAGACATTTTCCATACTTTGTTCACATGCATCGAAAGTGTTTGAATCAAATGATGTTAAAGTCATTCCTGAAAAGTATACTTTAAGAAGGTGGACAAGAGAAGCCCATTGTGGTATTGTGCATGAATTTAGGGGAAAAGAGACTGAAGGAGATCCAAGGTTGTCTAGAACGCGACAATTTAGATAAGTTGTCTCGAAATTTATAAAGGTGGCAGCTGATGCATCACCTTCTGAAGAGGACCTCAAGATTGTTGATGATAGTGTAAATGAAATGACACGAGAAAGAAAATAACAGAACATTGTTCACAAGTCAAACACAATGTGTTTCATAAAAATGATGATCCGCTATTTCCAAGATATGATGCTATGCAACTCAAGGGATTCAAAAAACGACCTAACTTAAAGAAGAAATCAAACAAGTGATGTAAGGGTTGGGTTGAGAAACAACCTAAGATGAAAAAAGGAGTATTGCCTAAAGGGAAACAATGCAGTCAAGTGTCCCATGTATACATATTTATGTATATATCACTTGATTTTACTTGTACTTATTATCCATTATTTTAATTTTGCTTGATTAAAAGTTTACATAATCATTTTAGGATAAAGAACTATCAAGTCGTATGGTTGATGAAGTATCATGTTCGACACCTCTAACGTATGAGTCCCGACAAATACAGGAGGATCATTTTAGTTTCACAGCGTTCTTGATGATGATTTCATTTTTTTTAATGTTAATTTGTAATTTAGTATCGATTCTTACCATGACGATATTTAGTTTTTTTTTAATTATATAGGCACCACTTAATGAGACAGACATTAACGTGTTACATTGATTGGAGTTGATGCATTATTAATATTTTTTGGAGTAGCTTCTTTTGTGTAGATCTCTTAATGACTTGGTATATTTTTATAGTCATTAGTGTTTTGTATATCACTAATGTTATGTAGGTCTACTTCTGATTTTACAGTATCTTCTGTTGTTTTTGTGTGCATCAGTTGATGCATACTGATGTTACTTTTTGCCCATCACTTAATGTAAAGTTTTATACTTTTAAAGTGATATATAATATATGTTGGTAATATATGTAATGTTAAAGTGCTATATAATGATAAAGTGTCATATGTTATATAGTGATATATTGTTACTGTAATGTGTTGTCACTGCTATATGTTGTTATATTGTTACTGTTATGGTGTACCAGACCAAGCCAAAAATATAATTCGTACAGAATACAATTATATTATTATGTTGCACAAAGCCAATAGTATACAGTTATTTTAACACTGGGCCAAAGACTTTTCAAATATAAAAGTTAGAACAAATATATAATAAACAAAGCTAACAGCATACAATTGTATTATGTTGCACAAAACTAACAGCATAATGTTATTTTACATTGCACAGAAAATTGTATTACATTGTCAAAAATGTATTATACATAAAATTGTATTACATTAAGAAAATTGTATTACAAATCTAACAAATAATAATAATAATAATAATAATAATAATAATAATAATAATAATAATAATAATAATAATAATAATAATAATAATAATAATAATAATAATAATAATAATAATAATAATAATAATAAT